ATCTCTCTTGGGGGTGTCGTGTATTTAGGAGCACCCACAGAGCAGGAGATACCGACACTTGCTAAGAAACCAGCTCCAAAACCAGCCACATGTACGTATGAGATGAAAAAGCTTCCATTTCTGCATGTCAAGGAAGGAAGCTGTGCTTGCTGGGCTCCTTACAGCGCTTTCTCCATTGTGTCGAAGTGAGATTGGTTTTGTGACCACGGATCAGGTTTTTCGGTTGCAACGCAGGCGACTACAACCACCTCACGCCCTGAGGCACACTTTTACATCATCATACCTGACAGTACACGGTACCGAGAACTACGCTTGTTTAAAAAAGGCTGAGCAATGAGCATCTCCTGTGATAAAAGTAAAAATACAACTAACAGTTTAATCTATTAGGTCACAGTATAAAGTAAATTTGTATTTGATGACTCAGTTTTGGAGGTAGTACTAAAGGGTCCCTACAGGGCCTGGAAAAAACCCAACACAGAAAACACTATGCAATGACAAGAGGAAAAAGATTTTACCCTGAATTTATACTGTGTGCTTCTTCTGAGATTCTTCACAGTACAGGCTTGCTCCTCTCCAGTGTACTTTGGGTGAAACACGCTATCCTAGGAAAAAAAACACCAAACAAATCCCCATAACTGAGGAGTCTGAGGAAGTGCTTTCTGTATTATAGTCTGTAGCTAGAACACATTACAGCAAAGGGGCTTTATAGTCAAGTGCTTTTTTTTATTATTATTATTACTTTTAAGCTGCAAGGCCACAATAATTTTCCTTCTAGAAGGATGGTGCAACTGACCCGAATAATGTAATGTTGCTGTAAAATAAGCACAAAACCAATTGTGACAGTTTTACACGTTACTGAAACGGAAGTGACAGATGACAGAACACAAGCACACCACACAGCGGTGAGAAGGACGTGGCAGACTGAACTGGTTAAGGACAAGCTGCCCTATACCTTACAGACTCCTGTGAAGCTCTGTAAAGTAATCATAGATGACAGTACAGATTTTTAGCTAAGAATTCATAATTCTGCTGTGGAGCAGAACAAATCACACAGCTCCGTCCTGCCAAGTACCCAGTACTCCTAAAAGACCCTCCAAAGCAGCAATCCACAATCTTCTCAGTGATCTTGAATTAATAAATGAAAACTCAATCTAAGTCATGCAGTATACTTTATAGTAACACGGTACTTACATTATCTTCTTCCTGAATTTCCAGGGTGTAGGAAATCACTTCCTCTGGTGTACATCCTTCTACTTTATTCCACTGCAACGCGATCCACGTAACACCAGCTCGAACAAGCCTTGGTGCAGAAGGGGTCTGAGGAATATTACCTGCAGTGTAGCATACCACCTCCTGGCTGTACCCACTGCACCGAGACAGAGAAAGAGAGAGAGGAATATTAAAAACAGACAAAACTGAAAAAAACAAACCTCAGTGTATTGAGAGAAATATTTCACATTTTCAAAAAATCTAGACAGTGTTAAGATTGCCTAGGTGGAAGAGATGAGCACCCAGTTAGGAAATGCCAGAACTGAGAATAGAAAAAAATGCAGGATTATATGTGTCCTCACAGTAATTTTTACAGATTTCATCACAATAATATTGGAAAAAATAATATTTGATTGCATAAAAATATTAACTTAGTATTAACCGTGAAGTAGAGGAAAATCTCATTCAACAAAGGGGAACTAAAACATAGCCCCAAGTGTTCAACTTCTAGATGCTGAACTTGAGATGCAATCTCCACCTTTTATAAACTCAGAATACAACTTCTACACCTCTGAAAGCCGAGTGCTTCAGCAAACCTAGTCCCACTGTTTCAGACATCCCCCTCCAAAGAAAGCAGGGAAAATTTATCCAGTCATGATCATACATGCTCAGCATCACGTAGGAGCTGTCTGGTGCAGGCACAGACACCGTCCAACCCTCCAGGCTGGCTCTATTTCTTTCCGACTTTCCCTGCCCAAACTTCTTTGCATTTTAAGCTGAGCATAAAGTTGCTCTTTTGCACAGCTCAGGCTGCAGCCAGAGAGAACACCCGCGGCAGAGGAGATGCGTGCCCTCATCTTGTCTAAATCCCAGCACACAATGCCTTGAAACATAATAGGCAGTTGTGCTGAGCAAGTGTAGGAAGAGTTCTCGTAAGACTCCATGCAGAATATATTACGTACAATGGAAATTGGAGAACAAAGTTTAAAATGGACAGATTTTGGTGATTTTCAGGAGGACAACATCAGAACTCTCAACTGAAGGTAATGTTCTTGCAATTTTCAAATTTCTGTTTCCAAAGTACAAATGTATTTTGTTGCTTAAAGTCATTGCATGAATTTAATACACACAAAAAGACACATCTCCTTTTTCCGAGTCTTCTTTCTCAAAAATAACATATTTGTTGAAATACTCTTATAGTTAAAAAAATCCACCTATAACTAACACCGAACAAGAAAAAAAAAAAGTCTTAAATGGTACATCCACCAGCATTACAACCAACCAAAACCATCTTACTACACGAAGTGTTAGATGACATTATCATGTCAAAATTTTGAGCGCTGTCTATAAAAATAAGCCATGTGCTGTTGGTGCTTATCTCATAGATTAACACAGAGCAGCTGACCATAAATATAGCTCTTAGTTCACTCCCTCCTCAATAGCTTGAGAAAAAGAGAGAGAGAGAGAGAGAGAGAGAGAGAGAGAGAGAGAGAGAGAAAAGCACAAAAAAACCACGGGGGGAGGGTTGAAGCATGCCCTAAGATATTTTAAAAATCTGGAATCTGGCAAAGAGAAGAGATGCCAAAACTGGGAACTTTGCACAAAACTGGCAGTCCCCTTCCAGTTACACTCAGCAGCTCCAGCTCAAGCCTCTCTCTCTCTCCAGATCACGTATTATTTCAATAGGGAGGGAAGTAACCTTGCAAGAAGTTGGCAAAAGGGACTCTCTGCACACATGAACAGTCCCAGTGCATCTCAGAGGGAAAACACAGGAACATGAATAAAGAAACTTTTTAAAGCTATATATTACTAAGAGGTTTGTGTTCTGGGAGGGAGAACAATACAGGAATCTCCCTCAGCAAACCCCATTGTTATATACCACTAGTGTTTCTTTTTCTGTCCTTCTTGTAATAATGATTAGATCCTGTTTAGCTAAGAAGGACAATAAAGGAGTATACAAGAGCACTGAATGTTTAGCTTCTTCACAGCTAAACTTTTCCTGGCCAACTTTCCTTCCGTGAGTACAGGAGCACACAGCCCCTGCAGCACCATGTCTCTTTGGGCACACTCTGGTCCTCAGCTGCGTAACATTTTCGCCCAGTGCTCCCTAGCAGCTCCCGGAGGATTGCAATAAGTCTGATTTCTCGCCATCTTCATCTGAGTGCATCTATTCATATGCAAAGAAAAGCAGAACCTGAAGCCCATCTTGCAGGGCCCTTGGGTGTGCCTGTCCTCTCTCGGTCCTGGCTCTCTCACCCTTCTTTCCCACCCCATCAACCAGCCCTGCCGGTCCCGCAGAAGAAGGAAGGGACTGTACTGCTGAAAAAAGACAGAAGGGCTTTGCTTTACACCAGAAAAATAAATACATCAAGATTCCCTTCAAAATCTGTAACTCAACTTCCTCTTGCTTGTTTTTCTTGGTTCACAGAGGTCCCTACTGGGAATTTTACATAACAGATGTATTCTTTTTGTATTAGGAACAGACCACAAAACACCATTTAACACCTCAAAAGGAGCCTATCTTCTTAGGCTAACCTCATCGTGCTGAAGGTACACGGCGATTCCCTGGGAGGTGAATGATACCACCAGGGAAGGCGCGACTTACTCTAACGCATTAATAATAGAGCAAATGTCAGGTATTTAACTCAAAACAGTACAGAGAAAAAACAAACAAACAAAAATCGCCCCAGAAATTCCTCTTTACACTGTCATTGATAGTTGAACTTCTCAACTACCACTTTTTCTCAAGAAAGCATGTACCTTGGGTAACTTACCTAGTACCAATGTCATTCTGAGCTGCTAATCGGAAGGTGTAACCCAAAGCCGGACAAAGTTTAGTCAACTTGCAATGCTTCTGGCTTCCAAAGTAACATT